GGGGAGATGCGGAAGCGAGGGGGGGAGGAGGGCTGAAGTGCCCTGAGGAGGAGGAAGCGAGGGGGGGGCTGAAGTGCCCCGAGGAGGAGGAAGCGAGGGGGGAGGAGGGCTGGAATGCCCTGAGGAGGAGGAAGCGAGGGGGGAGGAGGGCTGGAATGCCCTGAGGAGGAGGAAGCGAGGGGGGAGGAGGGCTGAAATGCCCTGAGGAGGAGGAAGCGAGGGGGAGGAGGGCTGGAATGCCCTGAGGAGGAGGAAGCGAGGGGGGAGGAGGGCTGGAATGCCCTGAGGAGGAGGAAGCGAGGGGGGAGGAGGGCTGGAATGCCCTGAGGAGGAGGAAGCGAGGGGGGAGGAGGGCTGGAATGCCCTGAGGAGGAGGAAGCGAGGGGGGAGGAGGGCTGAAGTGCCCTGAGGAGGAGGAAGCGAGGGGGGGGGAGGGCTGAAGTGCCCTGAGGAGGAGGAAGCGAGGGGGGGGGAGGGCTGAAGTGCCCTGAGGAGGAGGAAGCGAGGGGAGATGCGGAAGCGAGGGGGGGAGGAGGGCTGAAGTGCCCTGAGGAGGAGGAAGCGAGGGGGGGGCTGAAGTGCCCCGAGGAGGAGGAAGCGAGGGGGGAGGAGGGCTGGAATGCCCTGAGGAGGAGGAAGCGAGGGGGGAGGAGGGCTGGAATGCCCTGAGGAGGAGGAAGCGAGGGGGGAGGAGGGCTGAAGTGCCCTGAGGAGGAGGAAGCGAGGGGGGAGAAGGGCTGAAGTGCCCTGAGGAGGAGGAAGCGAGGGGAGATGCGGCAGCGAGGGGGGAGGAGGGCTGGAATGCCCTGAGGAGGAGGAAGCGAGGGGGGAGGAGGGCTGAAGTGCCCTGAGGAGGAGGAAGCGAGGGGGGGGGAGGGCTGAAGTGCCCTGAGGAGGAGGAAGCGAGGGGGGGGGAGGGCTGAAGTGCCCTGAGGAGGAGGAAGCGAGGGGAGATGCGGAAGCGAGGGGGGGAGGAGGGCTGAAGTGCCCTGAGGAGGAGGAAGCGAGGGGGGGGCTGAAGTGCCCCGAGGAGGAGGAAGCGAGGGGGGAGGAGGGCTGGAATGCCCTGAGGAGGAGGAAGCGAGGGGGGAGGAGGGCTGGAATGCCCTGAGGAGGAGGAAGCGAGGGGGGAGGAGGGCTGAAATGCCCAGAGGAGGAGGAAGCGAGGGGAGATGCAGAAGCGAGGGGGAGATGAGGGCTGGATGGCCCTTAGGAGGAGAGCGGGGAGAGGAGGAGGCGGTGGGAGTGTGGGGTGAGTTGGCGGCGGCTAGTAGTCGTGGCGGCGGAGGTGAGAGCGGCGGTGACGTCGTCGTAAGGGTCGCGGCAGCAGCAGGCGGCGACGATGGGACATCGCGACGGCGTGAGGCCGCGACATGAGACCGCGGCGGCTATGTAAGGGTGTGGTGGCGACGAAAGCAGGTCGCGTGGGCGGAAGATTGCTCCGCGTCGGCGAAATGGAGTGGCGGCGGCGGATTGCTCCGCGTCGGCGAAATGCAGTGGCGGCGGCGGATTAGGTCACGACGAGCGCCCGCGTTCGTCGTGGCAGTGGCGCCCGTCCGCGATTTAGGTCACGACGGTCAACGTGGCCGTCCCGACGGTCGCGCTGGCCGTTCCGACGGTCGCGCTGGTCGTCCCGACGGTCGCGCTGGCCGTCCCGACGGTCGCGCTGGCCGTCCCGACGGTCGCGCTGGCCGTCCCGACGGTCGCGCTGGCCGTCCCGACGGTCGCGCTGGCCGTTCCGGCGGTCGCGCTGGCCGTTCCGACGGTCGCGCTGGCCGTTCCGACGGTTGGCGTGGCCGTTCCGACGGTGGGCGCGTTCGTGGGAGAGAGGGAAGGGCTGTGAGAGGCGGAATTGACCGTAGGAAGGGGGGAGGGGCGCTGGAACTTTAGCGCAAGGGGAGGGGGGCCGTAACGGCGTAGGAGCGCACTAGGCGCAAAGAGCGACGTAGCGTCGCGTAAGGGAGGGGGGCGTGATGCGGCACGCGGAAGGTGCGGTCCTTAGGATCGAAGATGGTGTGAGCCGTAGTTGCTCTGATACCATGTGAGAAACTGAAGTGTTGGTTTGATTAGAAAGATTGTGGGTACATATAGGAGATGAAAAGTATGGGGAACTAGGTTGGGTACCCACGACATTATTGGTGAGCCAATGGGAGTGGCCACCAATAATGTTTTGGAGGTGACCGCCAATTATTGGGGGGGGAGCAATAATGGTTGGAACGAACCAACCAATGTTGGTTCCCCCCGCCAATTGCGGCTGAGTGGGGCTGGGGTGCACCCAACCAAAACTGGTTGGGTCGCCTTGGCCCAAAGTGTACACCCATGTTTGGGTGTTACACTTGCACATTTACAACCCAACTGATGCTATAATCTAACATACCCATGCCCATACCCATGCCCATGCGTTGCGAGAATGGGCATGCGCTGTATGTGAGCATGCGCTGTATGTGAGCATGCGCTGTATGTGAGCATGCACTGTATGTGAGCATGCACTGTATGTGAGCATGCACTGTATGTGAGCATGCACTGTATGTGAGCATGCACTGTATGTGAGCATGCACTGTATGTGAGCATGCACTGTATGTGAGCATGCACTGTATGTGAGCATGCACTGTATGTGAGCATGCACTGTATGTGAGCATGCACTGTATGTGAGCATGCACTGTATGTGAGCATGCACTGTATGTGAGCATGCACTGTATGTGAGCATGCACTGTATGTGAGCATGCACTGTATGTGAGCATGCACTGTATGTGAGCATGCACCGTATGTGAGCATGCACCGTATGTGAGCATGCACTGTATGTGAGCATGCACTGTATGTGAGCATGCACCGTATGTGAGCATGCACCGTATGTGAGCATGCACTGTATGTGAGCATGCACTGTATGTGAGCATGCACTGTATGTGAGCATGCACCTGTATGTGAGCATGCACTGTATGTGAGCATGCACTGTATGTGAGCATGCACTGTATGTGAGCATGCACTGTATGTGAGCATGCACTGTATGTGAGCATGCACTGTATGTGAGCATGCACTGTATGTGAGCATGCACTGTATGTGAGCATGCACTGTATGTGAGCATGCACTGTATGTGAGCATGCACTGTATGTGAGCATGCACTGTATGTGAGCATGCACTGTATGTGAGCATGCACTGTATGTGAGCATGCACTGTATGTGAGCATGCACTGTATGTGAGCATGCACTGTATGTGAGCATGCACTGTATGTGAGCATGCACTGTATGTGAGCATGCACTGTATGTGAGCATGCACTGTATGTGAGCATGCACTGTATGTGAGCATGCACTGTATGTGAGCATGCACTGTATGTGAGCATGCACTGTATGTGAGCATGCACTGTATGTGAGCATGCACTGTATGTGAGCATGCACTGTATGTGAGCATGCACTGTATGTGAGCATGCACTGTATGTGAGCATGCACTGTATGTGAGCATGCACTGTATGTGAGCATGCACTGTATGTGAGCATGCACTGTATGTGAGCATGCACTGTATGTGAGCATGCACTGTATGTGAGCATGCACTGTATGTGAGCATGCACTGTATGTGAGCATGCACTGTATGTGAGCATGCACTGTATGTGAGCATGCACTGTATGTGAGCATGCACTGTATGTGAGCATGCACTGTATGTGAGCATGCACTGTATGTGAGCATGCACTGTATGTGAGCATGCACTGTATGTGAGCATGCACTGTATGTGAGCATGCACTGTATGTGAGCATGCACTGTATGTGAGCATGCACTGTATGTGAGCATGCACTGTATGTGAGCATGCACTGTATGTGAGCATGCACTGTATGTGAGCATGCACTGTATGTGAGCATGCACCGTATGTGAGCATGCACCGTATGTGAGCATGCACTGTATGTGAGCATGCACTGTATGTGAGCATGCACCGTATGTGAGCATGCACCGTATGTGAGCATGCACTGTATGTGAGCATGCACTGTATGTGAGCATGCACCGTATGTGAGCATGCACCGTATGTGAGGTGAGCATGCACTGTATGTGAGCATGCACTGTATGTGAGCATGCACCGTATGTGAGCATGCACCGTATGTGAGCATGCACCGTATGTGAGCATGCACTGTATGTGAGCATGCACCGTATGTGAGCATGCACCGTATGTGAGCATGCACTGTATGTGAGCATGCACTGTATGTGAGCATGCACCGTATGTGAGCATGCACCGTATGTGAGCATGCACTGTATGTGAGCATGCACTGTATGTGAGCATGCACTGTATGTGAGCATGCACTGTATGTGAGCATGCACTGTATGTGAGCATGCACTGTATGTGAGCATGCACTGTATGTGAGCATGCACTGTATGTGAGCATGCACTGTATGTGAGCATGCACTGTATGTGAGCATGCACTGTATGTGAGCATGCACTGTATGTGAGCATGCACTGTATGTGAGCATGCACTGTATGTGAGCATGCACTGTATGTGAGCATGCACTGTATGTGAGCATGCACTGTATGTGAGCATGCACTGTATGTGAGCATGCACTGTATGTGAGCATGCACTGTATGTGAGCATGCACTGTATGTGAGCATGCACTGTATGTGAGCATGCACTGTATGTGAGCATGCACTGTATGTGAGCAGGCACTGTATGTGAGCAGGCACTGTATGTGAGCATGCACTGTATGTGAGCATGCACTGTATGTGAGCAGGCACTGTATGTGAGCAGGCACTGTATGTGAGCATGCACTGTATGTGAGCATGCACTGTATGTGAGCATGCACTGTATGTGAGCATGCACTGTATGTGAGCAGGCACTCCATCCTTCCTGGATTGCCCCTCACCATGTCTGTAGCTTCCTCCAAGACAAGCCACCTCTACATGTGCCACCTATACATGTGCCACCTATACATGTGCCACCTATACATGTGCCACCTCGCTCCATTAAACCCCAATTCTTCACTTTTTCCACCCTCCCTGACTGGCCCCTTGGCCCCACCCCACATGCAGCTGAGGCAGTACGACCACGTCCTCAGCCTCAGTGCGGGGGACACCCCGGGTGCCTTCCATGTGCTGCAGTTCATGGCCTTCTATCAGGTAGGGCGGCAGTTCATGGCCTTCTATCAGGTAGGGCGGCAGTTCATGGCCTTCTATCAGGTAGGGCGGCAGTTCATGGCCTTCTATCAGGTAGGGCGGCAGTTCATGGCCTTCTATCAGGTAGGGCGGCAGTTCATGGCCTTCTATCAGGTAGGGCGGCAGTTCATGGCCTTCTATCAGGTAGGGCGGCAGTTCATGGCCTTCTATCAGGTAGGGCGGCAGTTCATGGCCTTCTAACAGGTAGGGCGGCAGTTCATGGCCTTCTATCAGGTACGGGCTGAAAGAATCTGAAGTGCTGATTGTATTGGAAAGTGTTGGCTTTACATAGAAGAAGAAAGGAGTGGTAACCAGGAGTAGAGATGAGCAAATGGCCCGCACGGGTCGGGCCGGCCCGACCCGACCCGTGAGTAAGTGCGGGTCGGGTCAGAGATTTCGTAAGTGTGCCCCGCGCGGGTTGACCGGGCCGGGCCGGGTGCTCATCTCTAACCAGGAGGTGTGCTCCATGATTATTGGTTGGCCAACGTTGTTGTTTACCCACTATTGTTGGGGGCGAGCCACCAATTATTAATTGGTTGACGACAACCAACAAAGGTGTCCCCTGTCACCATAACTGGGTGTAACACTAGCACGACTGTAACATCATGTGCTATATTTTAACAGGGGCGGCAGTTCATGGCATTTTACCAGATGTTGCACTTGTCGTCCAAAGCCGTCGTTGCCCATGGCATGCGCCCATCACACATCCCCATGGCTGCACTGCTGTGTCGCAGAGGGAGATAGCGGCGTACACGGTGCTGCGCCTCGACGCCCCGTTCACCGCCTTCCACCTCGACCACCACCTTGACGTCAACTTCCGTGTACGTTCCCGGAAAGGTCCAAGTAGTTTCTGGGTAAGTTTCGGGTATTGGTGCCGTATTGGATGGTTGGTGCTACTGGCGTGGCTGACACCCTTGCTGCTCCATGCGCACTGCAAGGATGTCAACCACACCAGTAGCACCACCACCATGTCTCCTCTCATGCTGCTGCCTCTCCTCCAACGTCCTTGCCGCCTTGCACGACTGTATTGGCTCCACCCCACACACGTGCCCTCCCCCATCACCACTCTCCTCTCTGTGCCCCCAGGAGGCGTGGGTAAAGAAGCTCTCGCCGTGGACGCTCTTCCCCGCCTACCAGCCCATCCGCCTCACCCAACCAATCCTCTCAGCGGCCTCCCAAGCCTCGCTGCCGAGCCTGTCGAAGCAGGCGCTGGTTGTGATAGGCGAGGCGGACAGGATCGGGCAGCGCACGCAGTACCACGTGGACGGCTTCTTCCCCAACCGCCGCCAGGTGTGCCGCCATGCCATGCCATGCCATGGGGCCGCAGTGGTGAGTCTGAGAGCTGTGGGGGAGGCCAACAGAGCACATGACGAGGGCGGGTGGAGGTATTGAGAGCAATTGGAAAGACCAGGTGTTGACCTGCAATGATGGGTACAGGTAGGGGTGAGTGGTGTTGTGTTCACAAGTGAGAATGGGCCTGAACCTGTTTGATTCGTTCAAAGGGTTTGCCAGAAGCGCCCCGAAATCGAACTGGTTTGGGGTGTTATTTTGTTCGATGCAGACACATATGTGTCCGCGTCGAACCCAGCGCGTCACTGTGGCGCGCTGGTTATCATGTTAAGTCAAAATAAAATAAAAAATGAGCTCTAATCCGAGGTCAAACGTTGCCATTCGTTAACCAGCCCGTTAGCTTACCTGGACCCGTCGATTACAGGCTTCAGGAGAGTTTTTTTTACAAGCATTAGGATTGTTTTCGTGAAAATGCTGAGGGAGGGCTTTCGTGTCCCAAAATATTCGTACTTGAGATGAGAATTTTACAACTGTCACGAATAGAAAATACAACACATGCTATTCTTGCATGTTCCGCGCCTTATTTTAAAGCCATCGGCCCACGTTGTTCATGTTCTGAAAAGTTGACGGGGAGAGAGTTCTTCTGGTCTGGGTTGGGGTGAGAGTTCGTCAAAATCGAACAAACCCAACCAGCCACCCCTCGTTTCCCCCCCTCGTGGGTGGTGCCACTGCTCGATGGTCCCAGATTGCAGGTGCACTCCCTTTCAAGTTTGCGCACTCCTCGATATCGAGTTTTTAAACCTTGATCCGCGGGCTTTAAACTGTTTGAAAACACATTTCGCAACGCAACAAGTGCGTTTTCTACAATGACTGGTGTACTCGAACAAACCGAACATATTCGTGCTCGGGTCGAACAGTTAACTGGTTGATTAGAACACCCAAGTGTTCGACCATTTGGTCGAACCGTCGAACACCACTTCTGAAAAAAACGTCCTGTTGAACCGGACACGTTCAATACAAGTAAATAAGGTGTTGGAGACTGCTGCGTTTTGCTCATGCCTACCCCCAACCCCCACACCCTATGCATCCCCACCGCACAGGCATGTTCCCTCCTTCCTTCCCAGTACCTCATGTTGCTCATCCGATACCCTCGTGTCATGGTGCATGCGTGATGTCATGTGATGGCATGGCATGGTGCGTATGGTGTGCTGGGATGTGATGGCATGGCATGGTGCTTATGGTGTGCTGGGATGTGATGGCATGGCATGGTGCTTATGGTGTGCTGGGATGTGATGGCATGGCATGGTGCTTATGGTGTGCTGGGATGTGATGGCATGGCATGGTGCTTATGGTGTGCTGGGATGTGATGGCATGGCATGAAGGCAGTACCGCATGGCAGGGCTAGCCATGCTTGACATCATGCAGCGAGTCGCGTCCACGTGGCACGCCATGGCCTCTGCCACGTCATCACAGAACAACAGCGAATCTCATGATGCCACGTCATCACGTGAAGCCACGTGCTCACCTGCTGCAGCGCTGGACAGTGAGGCCGCTGCACCTCCAGCCTCGCCTCACTCCCCCTCCCCCTCCATGCCTCCCGCCTCACCCACTGCTCCTACTGCTGCCACTGCGCCTGACTCCGCTGTGGCTGGCAGCAGCCAGAAGGGAAGTAACAGCAATAGAGGGAAGGGTGAGGAGGGCAGGCGGCGGAGGGGCAGAGGCGGCAACAGCAAGAGCAAAGGCAGGGGGCAAGGAGGCGAGGTGATTGGGGGGTGGAGGGAGGTGTTTGACAGCATCGTGCGGTGGAGGCAGATTGCCGAGCCCACCGACACCGTTGCATGGATCGATGCCCTCAAGTGAGTCGCGTGGATCGATGCCCTCAAGTGAGTTGCATGGCTTGACTGACATCCCTTGCATGGCTTGACTGACATCCCTTGCATGGCTTGACTGACATCCCTTGCATGGCTTGACTGACATCCCTTGCATGGCTTGACTGACATCCCTTGCATGGCTTGACTGACATCCCTTGCATGGCTTGACTGACATCCCTTGCATGGCTTGACTGACATCCCTTGCATGGCTTGACTGACATCCCTTGCATGGCTTGACTGACATCCCTTGCATGGCTTGACTGACATCCCTTGCATGGCTTGACTGACATCCCTTGCATGGCTTGACTGACATCCCTTGCATGGCTTGACTGACATCCCTTGCATGGCTTGACTGACATCCCTTGCATGGCTTGACTGACATCCCTTGCATGGCTTGACTGACATCCCTTGCATGGCTTGACTGACATCCCTTGCATGGCTTGACTGACATCCCTTGCATGGCTTGACTGACATCCCTTGCATGGCTTGACTGACATCCCTTGCATGGCTTGACTGACATCCCTTGCATGGCTTGACTGACATCCCTTGCATGGCTTGACTGACATCCCTTGCATGGCTTGACTGACATCCCTTGCATGGCTTGACTGACATCCCTTGCGCGTACATCGATGCTCTCAAATCACTTGTGTCGCACCGCTGTCTCCGTTGCCTTGCGCATCCATCCACCTGCCGCCCATCCCTCCCTCCATGCCATGTGTGGGCGGCAGGAACGAGTTTGAGGGGGGGTTTGGGTCCATCACAGCCATGGCGGTGGGCCCCTCGCGCAACCTCAAGTACCACCCGCTCGCCCCCCGCGCCCTCGCCCTCCTGCGCTCCCGCCTCCTACAAACCCGCCTCGCCGCCAACGCTGCTGGCTCGCCGCTCCCTCTGCCAACCAGCCGACTGCCCGAGGTGAGTGGTGCGTGTTTGCCCCTCTCACGGCCTGTGTGCCCCTCTCACGGCCTGTGTGCCCCTCTCACTGCCTGTGTGCCCCTCTCACTGCCTGTGTGCCCCTCTCACGGCCTGTGTGCCCCTCTCACTGCCTGTGTGCCCCTCTGTCTTGTGATTGTCAAATGTTTGTTGGGTTCGAATTTGATGTGTTTCATGCCTTGTCTTCTCTTGCTGCTGCCATGGCGTGCGGCCTGCTGCCATGGCGAGTGGGCGTGCTGCCATGGCGAGTGGGCGTGCTGCCATGGCGTGCGGCCTGCTGCCATGGCGAGTGGGCGTGCTGCCATGGCGAGTGGGCGTGCTGCCCAGAGCATGCTCACCAGCAGTCCACGTGCACGGATCACTCGTCTCCTCGGTCCCGGTCATCGCCCGTCCTTCCCCACGTGTGCCACCCCGCTCTGCCTGCCGTGGGGTGTGCACAGATCGAGAGGGCGGAGGGGGTGGGCGAGGTGCATGCGGTCGTGGGGGAGAACTTCTTTGTCACCACCGACTGCCACAGCCTCGCTTCCCCGGGGTGAGCGCCCTGCTGCCCGCCTGCTTGCCTGCCGGCCTGCTTGCCTGTCCGCCTGCCTGCCTGCTTGCCCTGCAAGGCCTTGCAGGCTGTAGGGGGTTAGGTGGGTGAGGCGGTGAGGGGGGTAAGAGGGGTGAGGGGCGTGAGTGGGCTGAGGGGGGGGGTGAACCGCCAATGGTGGCTGGATTGACGAGCATCACTCCCCGCACGCCATGATGTCATAGAGGGTCCACTCATATTGTCCGCTAATGGGACTTGCAATCACTAACCCCACACAATGGGTGGGTGGGTGTGCCGCACAAATGTTTGCCTTGGCTTGGCTTGCAGCAGCACACACTGCCACGGCCGCAGCCTTGCATGTCTTGCAGCGTGCCACACGCCTGTGTTACAGCGTGCGGTTCCTGTGTTGCCCACATGTGGATGCCAACTCGCTTTGCACATGCCATCATCTGCTGCAATCCTCCTGTTTATCCCTCTCATGTGTTTATCCCTCTCATGTGTTTATCCCTGTCATGTGTTTCTCCCTGTCATGTGTTTATCCCTCTCATGTGTTTATCCCTGTCATGTGTTTATCCCTGTCATGTGTTTATCCCTCTCATGTGTTTATCCCTCTCATGTGTTTATCCCTCTCATGTGTTTATCCCTCTCATGTGTTTATCCCTCTCATGTGTTTATCCCTCTCATGTGTTTATCCCTCTCATGTGTTTATCCCTCTCATGTGTTTATCCCTCTCATGTGTTTATCCCTCTCATGTGTTTATCCCTCTCATGTGTTTATCCCTCTCATGTGTTTATCCCTCTCATGTGTTTATCCCTCTCATGTGTCTAACCTGCCACTCACCTGTCTCTTCCTGCCCCCCCTGTCTGCCCCACCGCCCTCGCATGTGGCGGCACCAGCGTGGTGCTCAACGGCACGCAGCTCACCGTCGTTCACTCGTGAGTGCTGCCCCACGCCCCCCGCCTCTCCTCGCCACTCATTCCCCTCCCCTCATTCCCCTCCACTCGTTCCCTTCCACACTCATTCCTCTCCACTCATTCCTCTCCACTCATTCCTCCCCACTCATTCCTCTCCACTCATTCCTCTCCACTCATTCCTCTCCACTCATTCCTCTCCACTCATTCCTCTCCACTCATTCCTCTCCACTCATTCCTCTCCACTCATTCCTCTCCACTCATTCCTCTCCACTCATCCTCTCCACTCATCCTCTCCACTCATCCTCTCCACTCATTCCTCTCCACTCATCCTCTCCACTCATCCTCTCCACTCCACGGACCCACCACTCTCACTCATCCGCATGCCTCTCGCCTTGGTGTGCCGCACTCGTTCAACTGCGTCTGCAATGCCTCACCACCATGCTGCCTTCGCCTACTCATTCCCCTACTGTCTGCCCCGCTGCGCCCCTCGGCGTGCGTGCATGGCAGGGGGGCGGGGTTTGACTTTGCCATCCGCACGCCCGTCACGCCGCCGCGCTGGAAGCACTTTGACGCCGAGCTCGCTGCCGCGTGGCGGGTGAGTGGTTGGGGGTGGGTGAGGGGGGTGGGTGAGGGGGGTGGGTGAGGGGGGTGGGTGCGTGGTCAACAGAGAGGGAGGCAGGTGAGGGCTGACGAGGAGTGCCGCATACACACTGATGCTGCTGCCGCGTGTGCATTTGCATGTATTTCTCACTTTCCCCTCTCACCCACCTCTGCCTCCTCACCCACCTCTGCCTCCTCACCCACCTCTGCCTTGTCATCGGGAGTGGCAGGACCTATGTGCCGCCGTGTTGGACCGTGCCCTGGAGACAGCTGATGCCGCCCGCTATCGCCAACGCATTCAGGAAAATATTCTGCGAATTGGATACTATTGGTAATTGCCGTGCAGTGGTGTGCCCTCACCTGGACTGGACCCGCACACAAGAGGCTGTGCAGTGGTGTGCGCTCACCAGGATGAGGGTTGGGGGGCAGTGGGGGTTGTGTTAGGGGGCGGTGCAGAAGGAGAGGCGGACAGTTGGGAAGATGCACTGAGTATTGGGAATCTACATTTCAACTCTGCCACACTCGTCTGTCTTTTCCCGTGCTTCGTATCTCCTCTCCCCTACATCTCCTGCCCTACCTGTCTCTCCACTCTCTCCCCTCTCTCCTGTCCCCCCTGTCGCCGCGCTCGGCCCATGGGCGGAGCAGGTACCAGTTCATGCCGTTGACGAGAGGCAGTGCCATGGTGGGGCTCATCGCCGTGCTCGGCCTCTCCATGGCCGCCGGCATGCTCACCACCGCCCCCATTCCGCATGGCATGCAGGTCCCTGCTCTGCTCCTCCACTCTGCTCACCTCGCTTCGAATTTCAGTTATCTGGTGCTGCTGTTTACGTTCCCCCCTTCACTTCATGGTTGCCACAGCTGCCAGCAATAGCTGATCCCTCGTGATGCTCTCTCCGCCTCCCCACTCTCTGCCCTCCCCTCCCCCCTCTTCCCCCTTTCTCTGCAGGTGGACTGGGAGGCCATCCTCGTGCCGCACTTTGCAGCCTTCAATGCGTCGGTGGCGCCGTGGCTGTACGCGCCCGCCACTGTTCTCGCTGCACCCTCCCACCTGCCGCTCGTGGCCCACGTGCTGCCCTCCACACGCCATGTCATCGCTGCTCTCAACCACCAAGGCTGACCTTCTGTTAGAATGGGTCAAGAAATATACTATTAGTCTTAGAACCTGGTCCTAGAGCCGACAAATCTTAGGAGCCAACTTGCACATGAACCATTCTAGGAACAAAAGAGCTTTTTCAAAAAAGGGTTTCTCAACAAGAAATATCCCTAACCTAAAGGGTTTGGGAGGTGATCCATGGCTCTGATGGAAGCTTCATCCCTCTCGCACTCCCTGGACTGGACACCTGTCGGGGGTCAAAGGGAGGAAAAGGCGATCATTGGAAGCTTCAAGAACATGTGCAATACAACAAGGTAGATGAAATGTACCTGGCAGGGAGTGGTGGAACATCTTGTCGAGCTGGCCCAGCCACGTGCGACACTTGCGCATGCGCTGACTTTTGTCCTCCGGGTACATGGCACGTCGGAAGATCTTGGCGCCATTCAAGTTCTCCAGATCCTCCAGCCGGTACTCCAGGCGTCCCTTCGTCTCACGTGCGTAGTCCTGACAAAGTTTCTTGCATGAGTAGTAGTCGCCCCCACTGGTTTGACCTGCGATCGGGCGCTTGTGCAGATGGAACACGTGAACAGCCAGAGCATTCTTGTCCACTCCCTCCACCGTTACCTCTCGGTGCAGCGGATCTGCGTGCTTTTTGAGAAAATCATTAAGCAGGGGGGATTGGCCGTTGCCGAACGCATCCTCACATTCAATGTAACGGACTTCGATGGTGCGGCACGCCAGTGAGACTTCGCTGTCAACCTGCCAAGGTAAATAAGAAAGTCAACAATGATAGATGCCGCGTTTTTCAATCAGGGAACCGAGAAGATTTGCAAACTATAAATAGGAAATTCCTTACACTACCTTCCCTCCCCCCCCCCCCTTCCCCCAACCCCCCCCACCACCCCCCGCTTAATAAAGGTGGCCCACATCAGGCACGTGACCGCGAGAGAGATTGTCTCGTAAGACCGAGTGTCCCTGAAGCGAGTTAGGCATGATCCACGTATCGTCCTTGCTGGTCCTTGCAAGCTACTGAACTAACAAGTCGACGTGGTATTCGGTTGTAATCCGTAACGCACGATGGTTCAAAATCTTCCAAGATTTGATCGTTAGCTCTTCCACAGGCCGAACACTTGGTGGTATATTCTGGCGGGCAGTCTCTACCGAGGATGCGACAAAAGGGTGCAACTGTCTGACGTGGAACTAATTGCTTATGCGCCACGCAACAGTAATTTCGCCGTGGCAGGAGTCAGCATAATCAGCTTGTTCCTTTCTGTCTGTCCGTCAATCTGCGGATGGTACGACGACAAAAACTGCATGTGGGTACCGTACTGTGCCCACGTCTCCTCCCAAAATCTCAACGTATATTTTGAGTCTTTGTCGCTGATGATCGACGAAGGTAACCCGTGTTGGCGAACGACGGTCAATATGAAGAGCTTCGCTGTGTCTTCGTCTGTGGTCGTCGTGCAGCATGGTGTGAGGTGCGCCATTTTTGTCAATCGGTCAACGTCGACCAATACCGAGTCGTTCTGCTGGTGCCGGCTGGTAGGCCCGTGGCAAAATCCATTGTCACTTATTGACACGGTCGTTCGGGTGGTTTGACCGGCTGCAGTAATCCAGCTGGCCGTTGGCGTAACGACTTCATTGCTTGGCAAGTCGGGCACGTTCTTATGTAGCGATGCCTGTCACATAGCATGTCGGGCCAATAAAAGTTGCGTTGCACTAGGTTTAGCGTTTTGTTGATGCTCAAGTAGGATCTCAGATAGTTTGTAGAGCCATAAGAAAATCCGGGTTTTTTTTTTTGCCTGAGCATCATCTGAAAAAAAAAAATCATGGTCTAAAATTTCAGACTAAAAGTTTCCGACTGTTTGATATTTCATACGTTTCTTTTCTAACGAGTCAGTTGTTCTCCGATCATTACTGCGTCATTCTGGTGGGTGGGTGGTGTGCCAGGTCAGGGGTAGTCAATCGTCAGTTTGGGCCTGGCTTTCGGGCAGGCACCAAAGGGTTGACCCTCCGTTTTGCGGGCCAGGGAGGTCATCCAGTGTTCCCCGAGTGCCGCCTGCTGGATCTCGCGTGGTCCAAGTCACGACGGCGAGTGCATTGGGATTCAGTGGTCCCCTCTCCTCACTGCCCTACCAGTCTTGTCATACAAAAAAATCCTCGATACCAAAATCCCATACAATGTACAACAAAGCATCTGAAAAATCAGATGAGCATATATACAATGTTGGAGCATTCAGGTGAAATATATCTGCTCGTCAAAAACTCAGTTGAACTTAAAAAAATATGTCTGATTTTCAGACCATCAGACGGATTTGGTCCGATATCGAAGGCCATGTGCGCAAGTATTCGGAGAGGCTGGAGTCGTGAACCTCCTGCGTCAGCAACTCCCTCAAGAGCCAGTATGACAGGATCCACACCCGGTTAGTACCGGCTTTTAGGACTTAATGCACATGTTGCGTCATGGCTCGATGATGCTGGTTGCGCTTAAAAATATTGTCAGTCTTGTACCCATAGATATATACACATGTCAGCAGCGGCTTGGAGTCGGCGACTAGTACTGCTGCGGTCTGCATCAAATGTCAGATAAGGGCATCAGCGATATTATCCGCGCCCTTTTTGTACATGATCGTGTAGCGGAAGTGGGACTCGAGAACATCCAACCATCGAATCTGTCGCAGGTTGAGCGCTGGCTGGGCTCGTAAGTACTGTAGTGACTTGGGGTTTGTCGTGAGTGTCATGACTCTCGTCAGGTAATGGCGCCAATCTCGGAAAACATGCACGATGGCGAGCGTTCCCTTGTCGTGCACCGAGTAGTTGCACTCGGGCGGCTGCATCTGGCGTCACTCGTACGCAATTAGTTGCAGCACGTTGCCGAAGTCCCGTAACAATATGGCGCCGATGGCGAAAGTGCTAGCGTTAGTTATCACTTCGAACGGTCGAAATGAGTCCATGAGCCTGAGCACCAGGGGTGAACTCAAAATCTTATTGAGCTTGTCGAAGGCCAACTGCTCTCTCTCCAACTACAAGAAATAGTGTTCTTGTGCAGCAAGTCAGTCAAATGTCTGGTTATCGAGGCCATAAATGGGATACAATATCAATTAAATGGGATCAAATGTCTGGTTATCGTACATAATTTACGAACCGGACAAAGCTCTACAGCTTCGTGACATTGGTCGGCAGTTTCCATTGATTAATCGATGTGACTTTTCGCGCGTCAATTTTTATGCCCTCCCCAAAAAACACGTGCCCAAGAAACTCCAGCTCCGATTTCAATTTCTCAGACTAGAGCCCTTGGTTATCAACTGGAACACTTCTTCTAAGTCCTTGAACTGATGCTCCCGAGTCTTGCTGTACACCGAGATGTCATCAAGATACACGATAAGTATCTTGTCCAGCAGGTCCCAGAACACCCCGTTCATCGTCAGCTGAAATGTTGTGGAAGCGTTCATCGGTCCATACGGCATCCGTCTTCGGGCAGTCTTTGGTTGTCGAAACTCCTCCAACTTCGGCGAACTCAACCACCATTGTGGCACAAGGCTCTGAAGCTCCTTTGAAGCTCCTGAAGCTCCTCTGAACAGTTAGTTGTACGCAAGGCTCCAGATGTATTCGTCGATCTTCTAGTCGCTGAGGTGGCAAGGCCATAGGCAGGTCATCCACGAATGATACATTCGAATGATTCTCGCCAACTCCTCAAGGACAGCTAAACCCAGTTTGTTAATATCGTTGGTCGCCTCGCTAGCCATCGTTTTGTACAGATGGAGGACATAGGAGTGCGCTCCTCGCTTGGTCGCTCGCTTCATTGAGACTGCATTGACACGTGTTGTCAGAGGCTCCGACTCCGTCCATTTTGGAGGCATGCACCATTCCTCCGCATAGGGTGCTGTGCAGGCTCCTGTCGTCCAGTCGATCTTTGGGTTGAATCGTTGTAGCCAATCGTGTCCCAGCAGCACATCGCAGCTGTCGAGTGCTATCGCCAGCATCTCAATCCCGGATTCGAAAACGTTCCCATACTTCATGCCTCCTTGTGAATCGCCAGCTGTGTTCAGTCCACCAGACGAGCGTCAATCTCTGGCAGACACCATTCCAGCTTAACTTTGTTGTTGTTGTTGTTGTTGTTGTTGTTGTTGTTGTTGTTGTTGTTGTTGTTGTTGTTGTTGTTGTTGTTGTTGTTGTTGTTGTTGTTGTTGTTGTTGTTGTTGTTGTTGTTGTTGTTGCTTTTGTTGTTGCTGTTGCTGTTGCTGCTGCTGTTGCTGCTGCAGCTGTTGCTGCCGTTGCTGCTGCTGCTGCTGCTGCTGCTGCTGCTGCTGCTGTTGCTGCTGTCAGAACTATGCATATATGCTCTAGGCTGTCAGAACTATGCATATATGCTCTAGGCTGTCAGAACTATGCATATATGCTCTAGGCTGTAGTGGGGCACTCGGGGGGTGCAGCCCAAATTAGGTTTTGCCTATACAAACCTTGCCTATACAGACACGTGTCTGTCAGAACTATGCATATATGCTCTAGGCTGTAGTGGGGCACTCCTTAGGGGGTGCAGCCCAAATTAGGTTTTGCCTATACAAACCTTGTACTGCTCTCTTTCTAGTCATTCTTTCCTTCACATTTCTGACATGGTATCAGAGCCAAGGGTACGGGAGGCCATACCTCGAAGACGAGGCAGGGAGGGGTGACCAAGGCGGTGGTGCCAAAGGAGAGTCTCGTGTGACAGAGGACGATACGAGCAGGGGGCAGACGCCGGACTAGACCTGGACGCGGCAGCAAACACCTGACCAGACGCGGCTACCTGACCAGACGCAGTAACCGGAGGAGACGCAGTAGTCAGTGTGTACAGGCTCGACCCAGGCCGACGGGTGAACGTGGCCAGGCGTCGCTCGTACGTCCATGATCCATGCGGCTGCTCCCCATTTTCTGTGGCCATTCGCGGTTCAGTACGCTGCGCATCAGCTCAACCTTCAGCCTCGTGTCTCCTTGCCAGAGACCACACCTACTCTGCGGTGGACGGGGAAGGTTGGCGATGCGTC